CCTTTTATTCGGAAGAATCGGTCGTCACGAACCCATACTTGAGTTCTGTGGTCAGACTCAACCACTTCCTTGAAGCATGCTATCCATATCACTGCCTGGTCTAATTATCGCATACAGTTACCATGTCACTGGCATATTGCAGACAGCAAACATCCAAACTAATAATGAGTTTATTCAAACAATCTCTAATGATGTTGTGGGGCAGCTCAGAAACGGACACGAATATATCTTACTTGAATGCAGCGACGGACGATTAGCAGGCGTCTGTTATCATCTTTTCATTACATTGCAGATCCACTAGACCAGCAAAGGCTTGAGGCTTCACGTACTTGTACAGGGGTCACAGCAGGAGCGACAGTAGGAGGCATTCTTCTTACCCTGCTCATTGGAGGGGCTGTTCTAATGGTGCTGTACCGAAACGGGTACAGAGTTGGACACGTTCTAAAAGGTATATTGTTCATTTCCTGTTGTTTGACTGAACATTATTTTCAGGCAGTGGGTGTTTTCTCAGATGTAAGTTCACACTGCCGAAGATATTTGAATCAGAGGTCAAGATTTCGCATTTTGAATGATAGAAATACATTTACACTATTAATGTGATTTAATGTATGCATGGTTATAGTTTCCATCCACAGTAATTTACAGAATACGTTATCAGTCTCTCTCTCCATTTCGTTAATGACTGATGTGACATGTTGATATTTGTGAAGAGTGTTTCACACTCCATGACATTTTTACTATTCCTGTTTTCCAGGAGCTGCACGAAAAAGGTAATCTATATGTCAATATATTTCAATGAAACATTGCATGGTGGTAGGTGTCATCTGACGAAAATCTGATTTATCAAAGTATTTCATGAAAAATGTTTAGCTGCAACTGAATGAAACATGGATCACACATATGAACACTTTCCCTGTTTTTGTTAGATCTATGTCCTTGCCTTTGCATTTAGTGTTTCAGGAACTTAAATCCCCATATGTCAGTTATACTTTATATGTGCAACAACATTGTGTGCAAATATTACCACAACATCAGTTAGTACGATGTCAATATGAGTTTGCATTCAACAAAGAATGAAATAGTTGAATCCGATGAACTTATCGACTTTTCTTTAGATTCAAAGTAAATATGTATATCTGGGTTTGGTGGGGTGAGTCTGTGTATGTACAAAACCAGGAATGAGCCTTTTATTCGGAAGAATCGGTCGTCACGAACCCATACTTGAGTTCTGTGGTCAGACTCAACCACTTCCTTGAAGCATGCTATCCATATCACTGCCTGGTCTAATTATCGCATACAGTTACCATGTCACTGGCATATTGCAGACAGCAAACATCCAAACTAATAATGAGTTTATTCAAACAATCTCTAATGATGTTGTGGGGCAGCTCAGAAACGGACACGAATATATCTTACTTGAATGCAGCGACGGACGATTAGCAGGCGTCTGTTATCATCTTTTCATTACATTGCAGATCCACTAGACCAGCAAAGGCTTGAGGCTTCACGTACTTGTACAGGGGTCACAGCAGGAGCGACAGTAGGAGGCATTCTTCTTACCCTGCTCATTGGAGGGGCTGTTCTAATGGTGCTGTACCGAAACGGGTACAGAGTTGGACACGTTCTAAAAGGTATATTGTTCATTTCCTGTTGTTTGACTGAACATTATTTTCAGGCAGTGGGTGTTTTCTCAGATGTAAGTTCACACTGCCGAAGATATTTGAATCAGAGGTCAAGATTTCGCATTTTGAATGATAGAAATACATTTACACTATTAATGTGATTTAATGTATGCATGGTTATAGTTTCCATCCACAGTAATTTACAGAATACGTTATCAGTCTCTCTCTCCATTTCGTTAATGACTGATGTGACATGTTGATATTTGTGAAGAGTGTTTCACACTCCATGACATTTTTACTATTCCTGTTTTCCAGGAGCTGCACGAAAAAGGTAATCTATATGTCAATATATTTCAATGAAACATTGCATGGTGGTAGGTGTCATCTGACGAAAATCTGATTTATCAAAGTATTTCATGAAAAATGTTTAGCTGCAACTGAATGAAACATGGATCACACATATGAACACTTTCCCTGTTTTTGTTAGATCTATGTCCTTGCCTTTGCATTTAGTGTTTCAGGGAACTTAAATCCCCATATGTCAGTTATACTTTATATGTGCAACAACATTGTGTGCAAATATTACCACAACATCAGTTAGTACGATGTCAATATGAGTTTGCATTCAACAAAGAATGAAATAGTTGAATCCGATGAACTTATCGACTTTTCTTTAGATTCAAAGTAAATATGTATATCTGGGTTTGGTGGGGTGAGTCTGTGTATGTACAAAACCAGGAATGAGCCTTTTATTCGGAAGAATCGGTCGTCACGAACCCATACTTGAGTTCTGTGGTCAGACTCAACCACTTCCTTGAAGCATGCTATCCATATCACTGCCTGGTCTAATTATCGCATACAGTTACCATGTCACTGGCATATTGCAGACAGCAAACATCCAAACTAATAATGAGTTTATTCAAACAATCTCTAATGATGTTGTGGGGCAGCTCAGAAACGGACACGAATATATCTTACTTGAATGCAGCGACGGACGATTAGCAGGCGTCTGTTATCATCTTTTCATTACATTGCAGATCCACTAGACCAGCAAAGGCTTGAGGCTTCACGTACTTGTACAGGGGTCACAGCAGGAGCGACAGTAGGAGGCATTCTTCTTACCCTGCTCATTGGAGGGGCTGTTCTAATGGTGCTGTACCGAAACGGGTACAGAGTTGGACACGTTCTAAAAGGTATATTGTTCATTTCCTGTTGTTTGACTGAACATTATTTTCAGGCAGTGGGTGTTTTCTCAGATGTAAGTTCACACTGCCGAAGATATTTGAATCAGAGGTCAAGATTTCGCATTTTGAATGATAGAAATACATTTACACTATTAATGTGATTTAATGTATGCATGGTTATAGTTTCCATCCACAGTAATTTACAGAATACGTTATCAGTCTCTCTCTCCATTTCGTTAATGACTGATGTGACATGTTGATATTTGTGAAGAGTGTTTCACACTCCATGACATTTTTACTATTCCTGTTTTCCAGGAGCTGCACGAAAAGGGTAATCTATATGTCAATATATTTCAATGAAACATTGCATGGTGGTAGGTGTCATCTGACGAAAATCTGATTTATCAAAGTATTTCATGAAAATGTTTAGCTGCAACTGAATGAAACATGGATCACACATATGAACACTTTCCCTGTTTTTGTTAGATCTATGTCCTTGCCTTTGCATTTAGTGTTTCAGGAACTTAAATCCCCATATGTCAGTTATACTTTATATGTGCAACAACATTGTGTGCAAATATTACCACAACATCAGTTAGTACGATGTCAATATGAGTTTGCATTCAACAAAGAATGAAATAGTTGAATCCGATGAACTTATCGACTTTTCTTTAGATTCAAAGTAAATATGTATATCTGGGTTTGGTGGGGGTGAGTCTGTGTATGTACAAAACCAGGAATGAGCCTTTTATTCGGAAGAATCGGTCGTCACGAACCCATACTTGAGTTCTGTGGTCAGACTCAACCACTTCCTTGAAGCATGCTATCCATATCACTGCCTGGTCTAATTATCGCATACAGTTACCATGTCACTGGCATATTGCAGACAGCAAACATCCAAACTAATAATGAGTTTATTCAAACAATCTCTAATGATGTTGTGGGGCAGCTCAGAAACGGACACGAATATATCTTACTTGAATGCAGCGACGGACGATTAGCAGGCGTCTGTTATCATCTTTTCATTACATTGCAGATCCACTAGACCAGCAAAGGCTTGAGGCTTCACGTACTTGTACAGGGGTCACAGCAGGAGCGACAGTAGGAGGCATTCTTCTTACCCTGCTCATTGGAGGGCTGTTCTAATGGTGCTGTACCGAAACGGGTACAGAGTTGGACACGTTCTAAAAAGGTATATTGTTCATTTCCTGTTGTTTGACTGAACATTATTTTCAGGCAGTGGGTGTTTTCTCAGATGTAAGTTCACACTGCCGAAGATATTTGAATCAGAGGTCAAGATTTCGCATTTTGAATGATAGAAATACATTTACACTATTAATGTGATTTAATGTATGCATGGTTATAGTTTCCATCCACAGTAATTTACAGAATACGTTATCAGTCTCTCTCCATTTCGTTAATGACTGATGTGACATGTTGATATTTGTGAAGAGTGTTTCACACTCCATGACATTTTTACTATTCCTGTTTTCCAGGAGCTGCACGAAAAAGGTAATCTATATGTCAATATATTTCAATGAAACATTGCATGGTGGTAGGTGTCATCTGACGAAAATCTGATTTATCAAAGTATTTCATGAAAAATGTTTAGCTGCAACTGAATGAAACATGGATCACACATATGAACACTTTCCCTGTTTTGTTAGATCTATGTCCTTGCCTTTGCATTTAGTGTTTCAGGGAACTTAAATCCCCATATGTCAGTTATACTTTATATGTGCAACAACATTGTGTGCAAATATTACCACAACATCAGTTAGTACGATGTCAATATGAGTTTGCATTCAACAAAGAATGAAATAGTTGAATCCGATGAACTTATCGACTTTTCTTTAGATTCAAAGTAAATATGTATATCTGGGTTTGGTGGGGTGAGTCTGTGTATGTACAAAACCAGGAATGAGCCTTTTATTCGGAAGAATCGGTCGTCACGAACCCATACTTGAGTTCTGTGGTCAGACTCAACCACTTCCTTGAAGCATGCTATCCATATCACTGCCTGGTCTAATTATCGCATACAGTTACCATGTCACTGGCATATTGCAGACAGCAAACATCCAAACTAATAATGAGTTTATTCAAACAATCTCTAATGATGTTGTGGGGCAGCTCAGAAACGGACACGAATATATCTTACTTGAATGCAGCGACGGACGATTAGCAGGCGTCTGTTATCATCTTTTCATTACATTGCAGATCCACTAGACCAGCAAAGGCTTGAGGCTTCACGTACTTGTACAGGGGTCACAGCAGGAGCGACAGTAGGAGGCATTCTTCTTACCCTGCTCATTGGAGGGCTGTTCTAATGGTGCTGTACCGAAACGGGTACAGAGTTGGACACGTTCTAAAAGGTATATTGTTCATTTCCTGTTGTTTGACTGAACATTATTTTCAGGCAGTGGGTGTTTTCTCAGATGTAAGTTCACACTGCCGAAGATATTTGAATCAGAGGTCAAGATTTCGCATTTTGAATGATAGAAATACATTTACACTATTAATGTGATTTAATGTATGCATGGTTATAGTTTCCATCCACAGTAATTTACAGAATACGTTATCAGTCTCTCTCTCCATTTCGTTAATGACTGATGTGACATGTTGATATTTGTGAAGAGTGTTTCACACTCCATGACATTTTTACTATTCCTGTTTTCCAGGAGCTGCACGAAAAAGGTAATCTATATGTCAATATATTTCAATGAAACATTGCATGGATCAAGTAAAACTACGACATTACACTAACTGAAATAATTTACTACATTTTATTAGGTTTATCACTGGATTGTTTGATTTCAATTATTCGAAACTGACCTGATGCTGTGTTGTAGCTCCACTCACCCTGAACCTGTGGAAATGGACAACAGAGGATATTCATCATTAGGTATGTACTGATTATTGAATATTTTCCTCTTTTGTGATATCTCAATTATCTCTGGATCTGTTCAGCACTAAACCAGTACAATGTGTTTCAGATCAGATCACTGCTCCAACGCAGTATTCAAATGTGGAGGAGGAATCAGAAAAACAACAGTACACACAGTTGAAGATTTATGAGAATACAAAAGGTAGATGCCTGTCATTCAATGAAGACGTTTTACGGGATTTGCTGTCCGATTAATCTAATTCAAATCTGTTCATGATAAATGTGTTCTATCTTTAGAAAATGCTGCAGGAGACACAAGTACCTATGAAGGCGTGACAGAGACTCCCCCTGTGACCTATGAGTCCATCAGTACATCGCCATACCAGAACACTGGGGCACATTCTCAAGGTAAACAAACCATGAACTACACCTGGTAATTGACGTCTTTCGTCACCATCGTCATGCATCCACTGTTTCCATAAATCTCTTAACATTGTTACAGTTAATAAATGTGCCGTGACAATGGGTTTAAGAGTCCCCTTTGAACCAGCAAAACAGAACACAGACAAATATTCAATAATATATTGAGCATACAATGAGCAAGCTACAATGAATGACAATACAAATATCTAGTACAATGCATTTGAGTCACAAATCTAAAATATTGGGTCACAAATATAAATTATTAACTCACCAGAGTCTTGACATTCATGGTGAGAACAGATATACTGAGTGAAGGTTGTTTTGTAGTTCTGTACTTTGCAGGTCCTGACCACGGAAATACCTTAGAAGCACAAGGGTATACATCATGACTTCAGTGTCAGTTATGGATAAAATACAGTAACCGACAAAAGAAACGTTACCCTCCTTCCATAATGACGGAGGTACCTACCTTGAGCTGGCGTTGTGATACGTGGACGTCCACTTCTTGGTCTGTGTACGGGGACCCCAGTCTCTCTGACGCCCTGAATAAGTATTATAACCGTGATATGATGGCATCCGAGGACGTTGGCAACCGCACTGTATGTTGACCCTATCTGCACCATTACAATGGCTCTTTCTCTCTCTTCAGCTGTTAATCGTGGCATATTTATCGCGCTTATGTATCATACCATGCATTCTTGGCTCTATTTATACCCTATAGAATCATTCTACATGTGAAATGGATGCAACTACTGCTTGAATTTTGCTGCGTTTTGGCGATTGATATTGCTATGTGTAAACAGAAAGTGGAAAATTGTATGTTTCTGTTGGCATTTAGTGTACTCATAAAGGACAGTGCATTACTTCTTTGAGGCATGGTGGTGATGTTCATGTTATTTTCGTCGATCATTTATCATTGGATATTTCGCATAGCATGTGGTGATCTTTTAAAAAGACATATACATAAATCGAGCCAGAAAACAAGAATTATAGTTTGCCAGTTATGACGTGTCCGATGCTGGTGGGACCCAGCCATGATTCGGAGAGGGAGCAGAACAGCTGGTAGAACTGATGTCCAGTCATACCGGGGTTAACAGTGAAACAGAGCAGACATTGTGGGTATGTACGTGAGACCTCCTCGCGGTGGGGTTGTGTGTAATGCCCGACAAAACACCCTCCAATGGCGCCCTGACAACTATAGAAGAACTCGGCAATGCTCACACTGAGTGGCAATGTCATCCTTATAGGACACTTACTGGAAGCCTTAAACAACGAGGCAAGGTTGTTGGGGTATCAGATGGATCACATTCCCGCAACTGACAGTTCGTGGTTTTGGACAAGGAATTTGTTACTGTGACTTTCTTTCGTGAGTTTCTATCTTTTCTAACTTTGTGAGAAAGTTTCATTGTGACGGTTCACTATCGTTTGCTATTTTAACATATGTTTGGACGTCCACATGTGTTATGTCTATTCAATAAAGGCCTGAGTAGGTGTTTAGTTACCACCTAAAGGGGGATTGAAGCCCAAGGGCATGACACGTTTAACATTCACAAGGCATGATAGAAATACAATGAGGAACCTTCCGTCTGAACCTTGTCACACATCGGCTTTCATATCAGTTTACTGTGGGAGTACTTTACCACGCTGGCAACCAGGAAAACTCCACAAATAATCAACACAACTCGGAAGTGAATTACACACGAAATATCCACAAAAGCTTGATGTATATCGCAATATAAAGCTATTGACAATTATCAGTGTCAAACTATGCATTCAGTAATTAGGCAAACACCAGGCAAGAACAGAGGTGGTCGAGGTCATTTGAATCATAACACCACATCATACGCTCTTTGCAATACCCCTGAACACTCACTCGCCATGCACGAGCACATACAAATGCGGAGTACATGGGTCACTTGGTCGTATTTTGTAGACAGAAGCATGTAACGTGTCATTGTCGAACACATGCATTTACACCAAATGAAGAGTCATGTCTTTATCACGGGCTCTCGTGAGCACAAAAGAACAAATACTTTGTTCACAAGTTGCTATTGTAATTTTTTGGCCGTTTCGTTTTGCAACAATAAACAGTATTCATATACATATGCATATGTGTGAGATTGTTATCTTTATGTAGATGTTAACATAATATTAATATATTTATGTACGAAGTGGAAATGTGGTTTGGTTTCCTCTGATACGAATCCAGGCTGAAAAGTAATCTCCACACAACTGTTTGTATAAGTAAGTAAGTAAGTTCCAGGAGTGTTCATTCTGTAGCTCTCTGTGTCAGACTGTGAGGGATATCCCGGATCCGCTAGCCCATTCCAGACCTGTCTTACTCCCAGTCTAATATAGCTACCAGCACATCACAGCCTACCCCTGGATCTTAGTGGAAACAACGTACTACACTTGAGACACTGATCAACAATCAACAACACAACAACATAACAGTAACATGCAAGGTTCACTGGATGACACGTTTTGGAAACTAGAAAGACAACAAAGTAAACAACAAACAAACGTGGCACCTCATGCGAAAAGACTAAGTCAATTCACTGCATGATATACAATATAGCACCCTGACAGAGTGAGTCAAACAAGCACATATATTTAATGACTGCAGCCCTTCATATATGTTTTGCCCATGGGGTGTTTGTTATCAGATCAACATCAGCCAAATCTGCCATGGTGAAAACCCACTGTCTGCAGTCACGATCTCTTTACTGACCGACAGAATAACGGGATATAAGTGGGGTACTGTAGTGCTCCTGCCGTATGGCTGCAGCCAGCAGGCTGCTGCAGGTCAATGTGTATGGTGGCGTTGTAGCTGATTTCTCGGTCTGTAAGCACAGCAACCATGCTTGTAGAGTACACCGACGTGGAAAACGTGATATTCCGGATTTCAAAGAGCGGTGGTAATTGTGATTGTCTGATTGACCACCCGACCTACCCATAAACTCACTTGCTGACTCACTTGCTGACTGACTGACTGACTCTCCGTTACCTAACTCACTCACTCACTCACATTAAACCTTCTTACACATGACTGACAGTCCACTCATCCATATTTAAATATTACAGAACCGGTTAGAAACGATTGCTACGCATGCGGAGCTACACATTGCTTCCGTGTAGATCTACCTGGCGACAGCCGACCACTGCAGTGACGGTTCCTGACAAAATTGGGTCTTAGTGTCAGTCGGTATGTAAAGTATTTTTTATCATCTTACAATGTGTCAACTGATTCGTTCATGTTTACTCATATCGCCGTTTTGTGCCTTCTAGGTGTGAAAATAACGTATATTACCAGAATTACCAACAACCTCTCAATACATCCATGTAGTTCCACCTATTTGTGCATTTACTGGGGTGTATGCGAACGTAAAGTGTTTATTGAACACAGGTAATGTCTATTGATTGAATATAGACGGAATACACCTTGAGTTTTACCATCATGACACAATAAACTATATGTAGACATTAGTCAGCCAGCAACAGACGTTAGCTGAGCGGGTTAGGCGGCTGACTTTGTGTGCTGGCGATTAGGTACCTGACTCTGACCCTTAGGATGTGGGTTCGAATTCCGGATGGGACTCAACCCACAAAGAACTAGAATGTGTACTTTACTAGAAAGTGTAATCCCAAACATAACATATGTTACATTTGACCACTTTCTAAATGGCATCGTGTAATCACAGCAAGACATACATGTGAACCTGTTCTCATGTACGTATCTCAGAGATACTCAAGTTCCATATGGCTGATACAAGGTGGACCTTCATTCTAGATATCAACGAGGTGCCAGACAACAGGAATGATGCAGATAGCTGTTGCTGCTGTAATGTGTGTATTTGCAGGTACGTCTTTCATATCAGTCACTTGTGAAGTCACTGTATACTTTACTTAGCTGTCTTTATATCTATCTGGGTAATAATTGCATTGATTAAAAAACTGTAATATAATGTTTAATCATTAGTAAAACAGAACACGGTTATACTGTGTGTTTGTGTAGAGTCTTCCATCGTGTATGAGATTCTATATAATAATATCTTCTTTCTACAGGTGTTGTATCAGGTGCCAGTCCAGTGTTGTCTGCAGTGTCTGACACAGCCAGGTTCAGCTGGGAGATTCCACAGGGAGGTCTGGGGACAGGGAGAAGTTTATTTGCTGTTAGTCCTGGTGATGCAATTGTGTTTGTAGTGTTTAGTGATGGGGACGTCCTGAAAGGCCCCAACTACACAGATACACTGGTGTACCAGGGGAACATAACAGCCAGGAATGTCACCTTCACCCTCAGCAATATCCAGACATCAGATGCAGGGACATACACGTGTGGGAATGGAGCGACCACTGATGTGATACAGAACTGTGGACAGAAACTTGTTGTCCTTGGTTAGTGGTTTTAGTACACAACGAACACATTTTAATAAGTTTTACATTCCACATACATTTTCAAAGATATGCTGCGTGACATCGTCAAGCCCATCAAAGACTCTACGAAATTAGCATGTAGGTGTAACTGAATTAAGTTAAACCTCTCACTCCTTGTCGGGACGAGTGGTTATACCAGGAAAAATATCATGGATCAATGTAATCGTTTGTCAAAACCTTAAAATATCTTCTTGAGACTTCACATGTCCTTTGTCGAGGAAGTTCATTAAATAATTTTCTCGATAGAGTCCAGATGTGACGTGAAGACTAAAGTGTAGAACGTACATTCTTCTCTCGAATGCAAATCTAAAAGAAAGGATGAGTTTCTACATTTTTAACATGTGATGTTCCGTGAAACTGGTATCCACGATATGGCCACTAAACAATATATCACGTCGATATTTTCCTGTAAAATATGTCACGAGCATTTGTATTACCCTTTGGTCGTTATAAGTGGAATAATCAAATACATAACAATACAGAACATATATACCACGCCTTTCCAGGCTTCATACCCTGCTCAAAGCGCACAATCTGATATTTTCACCCCGGATAACAAAACTACCTGTTAGGCGCTAGAAGGTTAATATTCACATGACTTATCCCACCCATCGAAGGACTCTGTGCTCAACGTTGCTTAACTTCAACTGATTTATGACCAGAGCTCTATGCTCAATTGCGTTGCAATTACACAAACCCCATTGGTTTATCCATTCACTGAAACTATAATCTTGGTATCTTTATCATATACATATAGTTCTGTGTACAATTGATCCATGAAATATATTAAAGGCAAACCCACAACACCTGGCTATCCATTGTCAACAACAACTGTCTACAACCAGTCAGTGACCTTGACCTGCAACTCCACCTCCACCTCTGTCCCAGCTGACCATCGTTTGACCTTGACCTATACCTGGCAGCGTGACAACACTGACATCATAGTTACCTCCCCTGGTTCTCCCTACACCTTCACAGTGAGTTCCCGGGACAGTCACAGCTACAGATGTAGAGCGAGAGAAAGTCAAGGTCTGGAGTCCGAATGGAGCCAAGTGTACAACATGGAGCCTCAGTGTGAGTACCGCATGACACTCTGACAGCAATGAAACTCTGACAGCAATTACAGATGTGTTGTTTTTTGGCATGCCCTTCATACCTAGAAGACATACTAAATGTACTTCTTGCAGACAGAATACCTCATAAGTTGCAATAAGGCCCCTGTAGGTGTGGTCTCGTTCATTAGCTGCCCATCTGAATAACGACTGTCCACAGGCATCCCGCGTTGTATGAGCTCCATATGTACATAAAGAAATGAAGATATTTCCTACCTGGTGATGTTTGTCGTTAGTCTACAATGAACCAGTTTTCAAAACATTTCTGATCTTTTCTTGCAATCGATTTCGGCAAAAACTCCGCTTTTTATCAATGAGATGGACCTATGAAAGTAGTCTTTAACACAAATATCTGTTATATTCATGTGTCGGGATAATTCTTCTGAGCATTTTACACTTTCAAAGGCTGCATATAGGCTGGCTAGCTTGGTTGACACATGTCATCGGTGGCGCAGATCGATGCTCATGCTGTTGATCACTTAATTGTCTGGTCCAGACTCGATTGTTTGCAGACTGCCGCCATATAGCTGGAATATTGCTGAGTGGGGCGTAAAATTAAACTCACTCACTCACTTAATCGTATATCCAATCGAAATCGTATACCCTCGTTCGAGTAATTACTAATAACTTTTATGACAGACTGCTACATGTTGGCTCCAATACAATCTCATCACATGACTGTTTATCAGTCGACATAGTCACGGTCTACCCTCGCCTACACTGCAACGAATGAATGTGATATTGTGTGTGTGGCTGTTCCTTTTAATGCAGATCGATACATAATCTTAATTTCCTTGTTGTGTTGACTTTCACATTGTTGTAGTTTGCAGTAATATGACACGGAATGTATGATACAACATTCAAAGCCTGAGAGAGAGAGGGAGAGAGAGAGAGAGAGAGAGAGAGAGAGAGAGAGAGTGAGTGAGTGAGTGAGTGAGAGAGAGGTAGAGTGAGAGAGAGAGAGAGTGAGAGAGAGTGAGTGAGTGAGTGAGTGAGTGAGTGAGTGAGTGAGTGAGTGAGTGAGTGAGAGAGAGTGAGTGAGAGAGTGAGAGAGAGAGAGAGAGAGAGAGAGAGAGAGAGAGAGAGAGAGAGAGAGAGAGAGAGAGAGAGAGAGAGATGTTTATTTCGGTAATAGGGCCACCGGCACATTATACAAGTACATGCAAACTTATTATACTGGCGTGGAGCGCCAAGGTTGTTGCATGTTAAGTTTTTAGAAATCGAACACGCTTTTTCATGCCAAAAATTACAAATGGTACAAGACTGTTGATGGCATCGATATGTGTAGATGATAATAAGTGGATAAACTTATCAAATGATGGAAACTACTGTAATATACTGATAAAATGGAGTTTCTCAGAGTATCATAAAATGGACAAACCATACAAGAGTGGTATTCGGATTCTACATAAGGAATGATACATAATGGACATAATCGTTCGTGACGAGGAATGTTACATGTGACCAAAACAGTTTATCATTCTTATTCATTAATGCATCCTGCAATGAAAGTGTCTGTGCTGTCCTATCTGAGGACTGTTTACTTTGACACAGGTGTTTATA